TTCTTTCAGATTTTCAAAACCTTCATCACTTTAATTAAGATGATAAATCAGACTTTAGTACCGCCTTTTACTTTGAGAATGATCTGAGGTTAAATGCAGATTTAAAATCATAAGAAATAATTTACTGATACTGTTTTTGAAACGAAGTCTTCGCATAACTACAGGAAACACTGCATCTAACAATGCTTTGGGAAAAAATAAAAAATAATAGCATATACATTAACCCAAATACAGTTATCTAATAAGCATGTATCCTATTCTTTGTACTAAACTCCTGAAACATTGGTGTCTGTTTGTATATGATATGACGATAGTTTTCTCCTGAACTGCACCTTCACTTCCATTTTACTTTTCAGTCTCTTTATTTTGCCCATATATCTCTGTCTCTCACATGACTTTAAAGGGGTCATATGATGCGATTTCAATTTTTCCTTTCTCTTTGGAGTGTTACAAGCTCTTGGTGCATAAAGAAGATCTGTAAAGTTGCAATGACTAAAGTCTCAAATCCAAGGAGATATTCTTTATAAAAGTTAAGAGTCAACCACGCCTACCTAAAACGGCTCGTTCTAACACGCCCCCACATGTCTACGTCACAATGTGGGAAGATTTGCATAACGCCACCCAAATCTTCACGCAAAGAAAGAAGGCGTAACTTTTATTCTCGCTGTAGTATTGTTGTTGCCGCCGCTGCCATGTTGTGGAGACGCTGTGTGTTTCATTGTGAAAGCGAAACTACTTTGTTTGGCCTTCCAAAAGAGGATGATATCCGCTTCGTCATGCCTAGAGCTGATCCGTGCTGGTCGCTGAGGAAATACATCAACTTCGCGCTGTGAATCGCCGGATCGGCTTTCACTGTGGATGAAGTGGAGACTTTGCAAGGCCAGTCTGGTGCTTCTGACTCACAGCCTGTAAGTACGTTTTTTATAGTTAAAGAATTTGCTACTGACGATTCAAACGCGAGTTTTGAGCAGTGTAGAGAAGCACTTGTTGTTTGTCGTTTCTCCAGACATGGTTTTATGTTTACGCAGCGCGATACGCAAATACTGATTAGTATAAGTAATTATAATCAGTAATTATGTCCCCACTGGATGCAACAAATGCCTCTTTTCTAATGGGTTTTATTGTTTTTGTCTTGTTGCGCCGGGACACAGGGCATCACAGTATGTTAAGGTTACATTTCCGTCACACGCTTGAGGTATTCAGCCAACGCACTGGATAGTTGGCCAATCAGCGTACGCCTCGCTTTTCAGAACGATGAGCTTTGTAAAAATCGATGCATTTCAGAAAGGCGGGGCATAGAGGTGCAACAATACTTTGTGGAAAATAATGTGTTTTTTTAACCTTAAATCGCATAAACACATTGCATTACACCAAATACACAACATAATGTTCTTTTTAGTAGCCCCCCTTTAATACTCAAGATTTAACAAAACTATACTTTCTAAATTGCCTACATGTCAAAATTAGTACAATAATGACCACATCATTACAATATCTTTATAGAAAAGTCCTAATAATAAACATGTGATATTTTCCCTTACAAAAATCAACCATGATTTTATCATAGTTAAAGTACAGTAACCATGTTTTTTTGGGAGATTTTTTTGCAAATGGATTACCATTTGTATTTATTTTTACTACAAATTCCATGGTTGGTTAGTGTGGCAAAAACCATGGTTAATTTGTGGTTACCATGGTTTAACAACAATTGTCTTTGGATTTATAGTAAAATTGATCGTTAATTTTCGTAAGGGTTGTGTTGTTGTCTGCCCTAGCTCCACCTAAACCTATTATAAAACGATATGATTATTTGTCTAAATTACTACTACTATTTTTATTACTAATAGTAACTTTACAATAGATAACAATGATGTCCTTTAGGCTAGTACAGTATTTTGAGTGATGACTGATGAGCAATGGGCTGCCACTGATTAAGTAAACAAAGGCAAATCTACAATAGCATAGGCCTATTTACAGATGAAACTGACCTTCACTTGAAATCCTGATCAGTAGTTTTGTTTCTCTGCTCCACTTGGGCTCTTCCACTCCATTCTCAAATCTCTCGCTCTGATCGAAACCATTTGGCGGAGGTGCGGAGAGCGCGCAAGCCGAAGCTTAGCATTGCGAGTCGCGACTAATCGAGTCATGATTTATTATCGAATGGCGAATTCGGAAATCATCACTTTAATACATTCGGCAGGCAATTATTTAGCTAATAATAATAATATTTTAAAAAGCAGGCCAAATCGGCTGCCAGGCCACCGGGAATTGTCCCGGTTCTCCTGATGGCCAGTCCAAACATGCAGAACTTGCAGGATAAATGTATTGTCTTTTTGCGGCTTAATAGTCACAGACTCTAGTCCATATTGCGTTTTGATTCAAGTGTACTGACCTATTTAGCTAATAATAATAATATTTTAAAAAGCAGGCCAAATCGGCTGCCAGGCCACCGGGAATTGTCCCGGTTCTCCTGATGGCCAGTCCGCGCCGGAAACATGCAGAACTTGCAGGATAAATGTATTGTCTTTTTGCGGCTTAATAGTCACAGACTCTAGTCCATATTGCGTTTTGATTCAAGTGTACTGACCTACTTTTGATTTATTCATCCAAAATGTGGCATATTCTGTGACATTCCGCATTATAGGAATTCCATTTTTATTTTTATGACTGGATTCTACGAACCAGTCCATGTTTTCCGCATCGCTGAAATCATAGGGCCGTATATGTCGCATATTTTCGAGTAGTCAGTGCAATTTGGGAAAGAAATCAATTAAATCTGTATGTGGATGTGTGTAAATATTCAAATGTAACCTTGTTTGTAATCATTAACATTTTCATAAGTAACTGTAATTTAATTACACATTTTTTGTTAGTAACTGTAACTGATTACAGTTACATATATTTTGTAATTAAATTGCGTAACGTCGTTACATGTAACTAGTTACTCCCCAACACTGATTTTTATACACTATAGATAGATAGATAGATAGCCATGCAGACCAATTTGATGCAGTGTGCGTCGTATGGTCTGAGCACTGACAGGCTGACCCCCCCCCCCCTTCAACCTCTGCAGCAATGCTGGCAGCACTCATACGTCTATTTCCCAAACACAACTTCTGGATATGACACTGAGCACGTGCACTCAACTTCTTTGGTCGACCATGGCGAGGCCTGTTCTGAGTGGAACCTGTCCTGTTAAACCGTTGTATGGTCTTGGCCACCATGCTGCAGCTCAGTTTCAGGGTCTTGGCAATCTTCTTATAGCCTAAGCCATCTTTATGCAATTCTTTTTTTCAGATCCTCAGAGAATTCTTTGCCATGAGGTGCTATGTTGAACTTCCAGTGACCAGTATGAGAGAGTTCAAAAATAGCAGAGGACCTAGGACAGATCCTTGTGGCACTCCATATTTTTACTGGTGATAATTGAGATGACTCCCCTTTTAAATGAACAAAATGGTAGTGATCGGACAGGTAGGATCTAAACCATCTTAAAGCCTGCCCTTGAATACCTGTATAGTTTTGTAATCGATCTATGAGTATGTCATGATCTATAGTGTCGAACGCAGCACTTAGATCAAGTAAAACTAGCAATGAGATGCAGCCCTGGTCTGACGCAAGAAGCAAGTAATTTGTCATTTTAACAAGTGCCGTTTCTGTGCTATGGTGGGGCCTGAAACCTGACTGAAAGATTATCTTCATAGAGATAATTTTTTTGCAGGAAGGAGCACAATTGAGCAGACACAACTTTTTCTAAATTTTTAGACATAAAAGGAAGATTTGAGATGGGTCTGTAATTTGCCAGTTCACTATGATCTAGTTGTGGTTTCTTAATAAGAGGCTTAACCACCAGCTTGTATGGTTTTGGGACGTAACCTAAAGACAACGACAAGTTAATAATATTGAGAAGCGGTTCTTCTGATACAGGTAATAACTCTTTTAGTAATTTAGTGGGTACAGGATCTAACAGGCATGTTGTTGGTTTAGATGTAGTGATAAGTTTATTTAGCTCTTCCTGTCTTATAGTTGTAAAGCACTGCAGTTTATCTTTTGGTGCGATGAATGAAGCTGAAGTATTATACACTGTAGAATCTACAGATATAATAAAATATTTACAAAAATGTGAGGGGTGTACTCACTTCTGTGAGATATATATATATATATATATATATATATATATTGTGACCAAGGGCGGTCAAGCTCTGAAAATAACTAAAAGCACCATAAAGGTACTCTAAAAGTGGCTTTATACAACATTTGTGCACTATTCTAAATCTTTTGGAGTCATACAATAAATGGCATTATGTGATGAATACTTTGAATTTACTTTACTGAAGACCCATATTTAAGTCAATAATTTCTCATAAGGATCTCTTCCACCAAAGCTCTCAAATCTCAATCACGTTTGTTTGTTAAAGTATGGCATTTCCAGATGTTGCACCAGGTTTGACATCAATGATGTAGAACATTATTGTTTTTTTCTGTCAGTTTACAGTATGGAAAAGAGCTGCAGGAACATCCTTCAAGAAGTTCACTTTGGCATACTTTGAAAAATGGAAATAATATACTTTATACTTGAGCCAACTGAATGTAATGTTTTTGGACACTTAATTACTGGGATATACAATGAAAAAAAAGTATCATTGTTTAAATTGTAATTAAATGTGGTTAATTTAACTTTTAGGTATCTTTATATGCAATTTTATAATTCTGTTACTTAATGATGTTACTCGCCACATCAGAATAAGTGCACAGTACTTTTTAAAATCATGCCAAAATATTATTAAAACAATGATATAAAATGTACTTTAAAACTTTTAAGGTTGTTAGGAAACAGTGTCATGGAAGTGCACTCTGGATATACTTGAGCGGCTTTTGTATTTCATTAATAATGTTAATGTTTTTCACAAGGGTTAGAATGACATAAGGGGAATGGCAATTTTCATTTCTAGCTGAAATATCCCTTTAAGACATTTGAACTATGTATTTGTATCAATTTGTAGGATGCCAAGTTTGTAGAGGAGAGGAGGAAACAGCTGCAGTCATACCTGCGTATGGTGATGAATAAACTGATCCAGACACTGCCTGAATTCACTGCCCAGCCCACAAAGGAGACTTTACTGCAGTTACTGCCTTTCTGCCAGTGAGTACATACACAACACTGACACAATAATTCACATGCAATAATCATCAACTGTATGCAATTCAGCTCCATGAACTCTATATGACACTGTATTTTAGTGCCTCAATGGATGATACATGCCATTTTGAGTTGTCACTCAAGTAAGCCAATGCAATCAAACTTTCAAATGCCACAAATGCATGCTGAATAAAGAAATGACACACAAGGGAAATTCACCAAGAATGAATTGCACTTACTTAGAGTGCCACATTCACACTTTGCCATTTGTGCTACACATAATTCTCTAAAGGAATTAAGCAAATAAGGCTGTTATAAGTTTGTATTGAATGCACTTTGCATGCTAAAATTCACAATTTCTCAACACAATTGTCCACAACAACATTTGAAGGCCAGACATTCTTTGTTTCTGTAAAGAGCTGAATGTTTTTCAGGGTTCCCACTATTTTTAAACAATGAATTTGTAGCACTTTTCCACTTGTTTCTGAGTTACTAGATAAGGGTAAAGGATTTTTAAATATCAAGTGTAGCGTTAGTTCTGGCAGGTCACGTTAGTCAAGCTCGCATCAGCTGACTCTCAGCTGATCCCCATCAACCTGTAGCATTTGGACCAATCAAACACACAATATATATTTTGTTAGCTAAATTTAACAAATACTCTGTAACACCCCTCAGTTAACAAGCCATATGAGGACCTATGGACCCTTCCCCCGAAATGCGTAACAACTCAGGAGGGTAGAACAGGCCTCTCATTCCATGGCAACCAACGCTGATATCACTGGGCTTATTGCCCAAAGGAATGCGAAGTAGAGAAAATCACTACCTTTTTCATAGGGAGAGACACAATGCACGGTAGAAATGGACTCTTCTCTAATTAATTCATAGAAAAACCTTTCTGTGAATGAACACACATATCCTTCAGGTCATTGTGTATGTTGTCTTTGATATTTTATACTGTTTTATGCAGGCTTATGATGGAACCACTCGTTCCTGTCATCTTGCCTATATGTAATCCGACCATGTTTAGTATCGATGAATTCGCCTTCTGATGATCTAAACGAGCATGTATATTATATGTTGGTACATAGGCAATATATTAGTGTCCTGAGAATCTTTAGTAATTTCGATTCAAGTTCCATTTGCAAATTACCATGCCCTCACACAAAGGGTCATAAAAACTCCCCAGTATCTCAAAACTCCCACTTGGGATTCCGGCCTTTCTCATTGGACAAGCCCATCTTGAGAGGCGTGAATCTTCTCAGACCTTAAAGGCCTCACATCAGTGACC